TGTTGACGCCGTGTGTCTGGCGTGAAGGTGAGGAAGGATCCGGAGGCAGGGGAGAAGATGAGCAGTGAGGAGCTGTGGCTTTTCAAGCAGTTGAATCACCACCTGGAGCAGGAGGGGCGGTTTCAGCCCCGCGAGAAGGGGCTCAGCCTCATCGAGTGCGCCCCCGAGGTGAGGGGGGGCCGGGGAGCTGGGCGGAGGGGGGCAGCCGGCTCAGGGCAGGAAATAATGGGTTACAAAGCCTCCGAGGTGGAAGGGATACTTGGGCTAACTTTGAAAAGTTAAATTCTTAATTTGTAGTTATTAACATACACTACATTATCAACGAGCTGTAGGGCGAGTAAAATACCTTGGCATTTATTATTTATTCTTTAAACTATGAGTGTGTAGAGAACCAAGAGAAGTGTTTTTCTTATTTTCATCTCGAGAGCTTTGTGCCACCGTGTTGCTACAGAAAAGCTGGGATGTCAAGTAGGCAGTTAAAAAATGTGGAAATGCCCAGCTTTTCGTTAGCAAAGAACAAAGAAACATTCAACGCTTAACAGCGAAAAATAGTCTAGGCATAAAAATTTCTACCTTAATGACCAGAGCTCCTTACTGAGTTATGTCAGTCTTACATTTCTTGGAATGTTTGAGAGTTTTTTGTATAGGGCCTTAATGTTTGACAAAAAATCAAATGAAATCAGGTTGCTTGTTTGTTCTGAAAACAACTTCTAGTCGCTTAAAGATTGATGTCCAGGCAGAGGGGAGAATAAGCTGGATTTGGTCATCTGTTTCTGTAAGGTCAGGAGTCAATGTGGATGGATGCACTTGGTGTAACTATTGTCTGAAAATAACAAGTGTGTACTTGGAAGTGTGGTTGTGCTGGGTATTGCACTGGTGAGACTCGGGACCTGGCTATGACCCACGTACTTTGGGTGTGTTTTGAGTATCAAGTATCTAATTATTTTTTTTAAAGAGAAATAAAGTATTTAAGGAAAAGAAGAATTCCATGTCTTTCATGTAAATAAAAGATGATGTGGGGAGTGAGTGGTCACAGTCATCACTGCTGCCACTGATAAATTCTGACTTTGCTTCTCTTGCCGTAGAATGAAAATACTCTGTGTCCGAGACAAAGGAATGCCAAGGTGGAAGATCTTTGGAGTCTGACCAACTTTTTTGGTTTTGCAACTGAAACGTTTGTTTTGGCTGTTAACATTCTGGACAGATTCTTGGCTCTGATGAAGGTATTTTGTGGGGAGAGGACCTGCTATAGTGTCAGCTGGGAATGTGCAAGCTTCCTGTGAACTTTCCTGTCTGACAAAAAGGGGAAGGTTGTGATCTGGGAGATAACTGGCTATTTACTCACTCTATACTAGCAACATTTCTGACCTCCTCCTTGGTAAACTTGAGTATGAGTCTTGCATGAAAGATTAGATTATATTGATGTGATTTATTAGCTTTTTATACTATGGTCTCTTCTTACCTCTAAAGGCAAGTAGCAGTATGTTTTATTTGCTATAATAAGTCTGTAGCTTTCACCAGGTACATGTAGAAGACTAAGAAAGGAGGAATTAAGAACAAACAAAATAACTTGTGCTACATGCTATTTCTGGGTGTTGTGCTAAAGCTTAGCTTAGCACTGAAAGTACTACAAATGATAATTTCCTGGTTGTTTTTCTTTTTGCACTTCTGCTGCTTTATGGCAGACAAGTTCAACCTAAACCAGTTCCCCATTACTAAGTTGGCAGAAAAACTATTGTCTGAAGTTGCATCAGTTCTCTGCTCTGACTGCTTGAGGTTGCACAAAATGTTATGCTGGTACATGGGAGAGAACAGCAGAGGCAGGAACAAGTTGAGGAGGGAGGGATAGGACAGCCTAGAACAGGCTCAGGCCGGATTTGTGTAGGCTTTAAATGAGGGCAGGTTAGCACTGCTGCTTTCAGAAGTGGGGGTAGTACAGTTCTTACTGCAATTTATTTGTAGTGTAGTGGTGTGGAACAGTTTCAACAGAGGGTGTTCAGCTGTTGAACTTCCTGATTTAGCTGTAGCAGATTGCTATTGCTTTATTGTCTCTGCTGGCTGTTTCACTGCAGCTTAAGTGACGAAACTAGGTATGACTAGGCGAGGTGTATGAGTTGACTGATGCTGGGTCTAGTTAAGATAAGCAAATCCCTTTCTGTTGAACTGTGAATATTCAAAACTCCTCACCTAGGCTAGGTTGCTGTTTGATAAGCTCAGTGTTTGTGGGGGGGAAGTATTCACAGTGCTTCCTCTTGTTTCTAGGTGAAACCGAAGCATTTATCTTGCATCGGAGTTTGTTGTTTCCAGCTGGCTGCCCGAGTAGTTGAAGAAGAATGCAATATTCCATCTGCTCATGAGATCATCCGGATCAGCCAATGTAAATGCACTGTGTCCGACCTGAAACGGATGGAGAAGATAATTTCAGAAAAGTTGCACTTTGAATTTAAAGCTACTACTGCCTTAACCTTCTTGCACTTGTACCATACTATTGTACTCTGTCATACCTCAGAAAGGTGAGTTGAGTTGTGTGGTGGTCTGTACGTTCGCTAAGACCTTTAGCTCTTCAGTTGCCTTTCAAATGATTATGGCATTGGCTGGAGAAGAGGCAGCTCCTTAGTTCTTGCTGATACAAATGCTTCTTCTCTTGGGTGCCTACAGGAAAGAAGTATTGAATCTGGACAAATTGGAAGCACAGCTAAAGGCTTGCAACTGTCGTCTAGTTTTTTCTAAAGCCAAAGTAAGTAGAAGCAGCTTTCCTTGACTTCTGATTGGGTTTTGATTCATGTTATACTGAGGGGTGTGTTTTGTCCTTCTAGCCATCTGTCTTGGCCTTGTGCCTTCTCACTCTAGAAGTTCAGACTTTGAAATCGGTTGAGCTGTTTGAGATCCTTCTGTGTGTTCAAAAGCACTCTAAGGTAAATATTTTCCGTGGATTGCTTTTGGGGTTGTTGGGACTGGTGCAGTTAGTGATGCACAGTGCTACATTTCAGGGACCCCTGCTGTCAGTGTACAATCTTGACAAGTACCATTTGTCACAGGCTGACATAACCAATGAAATGGATCTTTAAGCATCTGTCTGAAACTCTTCTAACAAATGTGGTTTCATTGGTAGAATGCCAAATACAAAACTGGCTGCTTAGAGAATGAGGTGAGGTGGTCATTTTGTGCTGGCACATCTTGGCAACTGCCTGGCAAGCAAAAGGATTATAGTTTAAAAACTAGCTTGTATCTATAAAATTAGGAGAAATGCCTGCACAATACTTGCTTTAACAAGTGGCTGATTGAATTTGGTACAGTTCTAGAGAAACTTGCAATCTGTTTGTGGGACTGAAATGGCTGCTGGCTGGTTATTCTTTTTGCTGTTTGAAAATTGAATAATCTTGGTCTAATTTTTCCATTGGAAGTGACAATGAAGATACTAACAGCAACTGACAGGCAAACTGTCCATGCAAAAGTGGACATTTGTAGGAGATGTATAGGAGTTCACCTTCAAAAGCAGCAAAACTTTGACAAAGGTGTCATGGTTATGACTTGCATCTATCTCAGCTGATATTTTTTAAAGTAATTTCCAAGAAGGTGAAATGGAGGGAAGGGTTATCTTTAAAATCTGTGTGTAATAGACTAAATAGATTATTTTTTTCTTTTTTAGATAAGTGATAGTGACCTACTTTACTGGAGGGAGCTGGTCTCAAAATGCCTAGCAGATTATTCTTCTCCTGAATGTTGCAAGCCTGATCATAAAAAATTAGTTTGGATTGTTTCAAGACGTACAGCCCAGAATCTACAGAACAGTTACTACAGTGTTCCTGAGTTGCCAACAATACCAGAGGGTGGATGTTTCAATGAAAGCGAGAGGTTAGTAAAACTTACACCAGGTGGTTAATTTGTCAAGAGTTCTCATTTTCTGGAAGTGTTAACAGCAACTCTGTATAGCTAGGCTTGTTTAGTACTACTTGGAAAAAAAATTGCTATCTTTGAAAATACGAGTGGAGTTAAGTAAATATTAAACAGAAGAAAAAATGGGGAACTGTCATTTTGGGGTTCAAAAAGTACAAGCTGTTTGTGGGGTAGGGAGAGGGATTGCCTTTTTTAAGTGTAAGGAGGCTTATAGAGCATTTAATTCTTGTAATATATATTTGATATCTGGAACACTGGCTGCTTGGTTGGTAGGAGGTGCTTGGCATTAGGAGAAAGGAAATTGGACCTTGTTAGGATTGAAGCCTTAGTGCTGAGAAGTGTTTAGATCTGCAGTGTTGCACTAGGAACAGAACAGCTTGCCAGAAAGCACAGGATCGGGGAGTACTTTGCCGCTTTCAAGAGGTTGTGCTTTGTTTAAATTACCTTTCCTACTGTTCCTTCTAGTGAAGACTCCTGTGAAGATATGAGCAGCGGAGAAGAAAGCCTTAGCAGTTCTCCGAGTGATCTGGAAGGCACCTTCTTCTTTGAACTCAAACCTAAAACAAAGTGGCAAACTCTTAACTGTCGGTCTTAGTATGAAGTCTTGATTGTATTAGGGTGAGATTTCTAACGCACTGTAGAGTCTTCTGGCAATAATAAATGAGGAGGTGGTATTCTGTAAACTGTCGGTATTAAGGCAAGAGTTGCTGTGGTATATCAATGCTTTGAATGCCTGCCTTGTTGTTTCTGTTGTTATAATTTTAGAGAAGAAAAAAAAAATCTTTCAGGTCCCCAGTTCAGCAAAAAAAGTTGATGTATAGTTCTGTTTTCAACAAGGATAAATGTAGTCCCATACCTGGTGGTCTTAGCTGAACACAGCAGCAGTGTGCCCGGACAGCACGGAAGGCTGACAGCGTCCTGGGCTGTTCTAACAGGAGCATAGCCAATAGATTGAGGGAAGTAGGGACTTTTTTCCTCCCTTTACTTGACATCCATTGTCATTTGGAACAGCATCCAGTTTCAGGCCCGTGATGTTGATCAGCAAGCCCAGCAATAAGCTGCCAAGATGATCAAGTGTTTTGGGGTATAGGACCTGTGAGGAGAGGCTACATGGAAAAGAGCTTATTCAGCCCGGCAGAGAGGCCTTTGGAGGGGGACATGGGATTGAACAGCAGCCTTTTGGTATCTAAGGAGGTTGCTGAAGAGATGATTTCAGGATCTTGACTGAGAAGCATGGAGCACAAACGAGAGGATTTTATTAAATTGAATATGAGGTTCTCAGTTAATGGAAGAAGCTCGCTGCATGGAGACAGTCAAGCATGGGAGTGCACCGAGAGGGGCTCTGCAGTCTTTGTTCTGGGAGCTTCTTGGGATTCAACATAATAAAACCCTGAGCTGGGTTTGAATTCAGTGTTGACCCTGCTTGGAGTTGGAGGTTGGAGAAGGGTTCTCTTGAGGGTACCTCCACCCTTTAGTGTTTGGGATTAGATCAGATTGGCTGGGTAGGTTCTGGGGAATGATATGTAGACCTAGTGAATCATTTCAGCCTGGTTCTGGCACATGGGCCCAAAACTGAAACTGCTTTAACACTTTGCGTGCTGTGCTCTGTTTCAGCTGGAACTCGAGTTGTGTACTCCAAGCAGATGGTTTTTTTTAAAGCTTGGTTTTCATAAGCTTCAGGAATCCCTGTTTCACAGCAGGAGTATGCATGGCAAGAATGGAGGTTTGTAGTCAGCACTAGTTTCACTGAAGGATAGTATAAAGTGTGTGGCAGGGTGTGATTTTCTGTAATATGGATGAGCTTGTGCTAAAATTCACATTGTATACTTCAGTGTGTCTAAAATCTTAACATGTCAATCCATACTATTAGACTTATTAACATGGTAAATCTTGGTAAGTCTACATTGCTTTTGATATTTAACCCTTGTAGTTGTTTTTCAGTATATTCATGTTATTGATTGAGTCATAATCAGACTTGTGTGCATGCTTATGTAAAGCAGTTAGTGCAGGAAAAGTTGATATAATGCAGTAATATCAGGTAAAGTGATGTTGATGAAGTAGTTAATGTAATTTTTTTTCCTGAACTCCTTTTACTGAAGCACAATCCAAAATACGATTGTGCTTCTCCGTACTGAGAATACGGTTAGGTAGTAAGTGGACGAATTAACTCAGAATAATGGTGTGAAGTGCGGTGGTGCCAAAGTAGAAATGAAGGAGCCGACAAGCTAAAGGCTGTTGTTTTGTAGATGCAAGCATTGTTTTAGGATGGTAAGAGCAGTGCTGTAAGTTCATAACTGTTATGTGGTTTCAGTTTTTATAAAAATACAAAAAGTTTACAAAAATGTATATAAAAATGTAAATTTAAAAAATGTATAGAAAAAATTTAAAACAAAAAATGAGCAGAAAATACTGTATTTTTTTACATTGTATGTAACTTTTTATAGGTATGTTGCATGTAGATAGTAATTTATTGTGTACTCTATAATATAAATACTGTACATCTGAAGACTTCTTACTGCGAGTCTCTGGACCTGGAAGCTCACTTCTGAAATAAGAGTACTTGGGTTACAGGTAATGAACCTACTGAGTCTTGTTTCAGTTGAGGAAAAAAAAAAGAATAAACTGAGTGCTGTATTTGTTAAGTGATGTGAGTTACGGTTGGTTACTTGAAGCTTTTTTGGCTTGCTTGTTTGTTTTTTTTTTTTCTTGTGTGGCAGCGTTGTTGCAGGTTTCCCAGAAGTTCTGGTAAGCGGTTTGCGAAGTAAAAGGACAGATTTCTGTATGAATCTTTTTCTCTGCTTTGCTGCTATCAGTTTGAGAAGCTGGTGTGAGGTATCCCCTGTTTATCTGCTGGCTGCAGCAGGGCACTGCTGTCGTGCTGGGCTGGGTTTTGGGAATGGCGTGTGTGCACATCTGGCAAACAGCAGCTCCCACTAGTGGTACCGTTGGGGCTCATCACAGGCAAAGTGTTCTGGGGCTTACTGGGTGTGGGGTTGCTGCTCTTCCCAGTCCTCTGAGGGGAAACCTGGTCCGTACCTTGGCGATCAGAAACACCTACAATAACTAATAAAAGGCAAACTTGAGCTTGTTTCCTTTTCCTCTCATTCTGTGTATGTTGCCAGAGTATTTCCAACTGGTGTCTACCTTGCAGAAGTTAAGGAATAAGGGGCCGTAAATGGTTCTTGCTGGAAGGATGTTCCCAGCCCAAGAAGGACTGAAAGAAGGAGCTGGGACCTGTGCTCATTTGCCTCCTGAGATGACTTTAGGGATCACAGAATCACAGAATGTTAGAGATTGGAAGGGACCTCGAAAGATCATCTAGTCCAATCCCCCTGCCGGAGCAGGACACCTAGATCAGATCATGATAGACCTGTTGCATCTAGAAGCTTGATACAGATCTTACCTCTTCTTGGTCTCGCCTTTGTCGTGTGAGGGATGGTACGAGATAAAGCACAAAGGTGCTCCGTCTGCCAGGCCAGCCTGTCTTCCAGCTCTGGCCGCTGCTGCTGGGAAGGGACATACTGCGTCTTGGGTGCTCACATGGGGCAGTGTGTGTAGTTTGGGGCTGGGAATGAATAGGGCACTGTGAGGCTCCCCGGGAGTGCTGTCACTGGTAAGGAGCATGTGTGGGAAGAGTAGGGCCACTGCTACTGTGAAAATAATTGAGTGTAGTAATTTTCACATTCTTGATGGCCTTTCTAGTTACTTATTTTTTAAATACAGGAATACGTTACAAGGCTTCTCACTTCCCACATACAACAGATGAGGGGCGGACACCTGATATTCCTTACAGAGTTCTGTATGAAATTCCCCTCTGTTTAATTACTCAGATGTGCTACTGAAAGTCAATTATATAATGGTACTGTTGATCTTAGAAACGTGTACTGTAATGTTTTAAGAGCAATGGCTTCCTTGCTGCCTGTTGTGACCGCTTTGAACATGAAAGCTACTGCAGCAAGTGTTCAGCTTCGACTTCAAAGGTGCTCAGTCAGGTCACTTCGGTACAGCAACCACCCCGCTGGGGAGTCAGCAGATAATGCGTGCGCTGTGTAGGTGGGCAGCTAGGAAGCTGTGGGCAATGTCCCTGGGTTTACTAGCAGCTTGTGATATTAGTCTGTTTAATAAAGCTTGAGGTGTACCATTCAGCCCCTTTCAAGTTCTGTCCCATCATGAAAAATTTGCTTGCATGAATGTTGTCAGGTTTACTTCTGTGGTTTGATAATTTAGGCTCAGCTTTGATTTTGCCAGGTCAGATAGCTGTGTATTCCTCAAAGGAGGTTTGCCTGGCTTTGTTGAAAGCGTGGGGATTTGGGTGGTTGGCTTGCTTTTAATGGCAGAGGTGCACGTGGTTTTTAAATGCTGTTTTGGGCTTGCTTGTATCATGAGGTGAAACTTTGAACACTTGCAGCCTCAAGAGTTTAAAGATGTGCTGGCTTTCATAACTGCCTTGTCAGTAGGGCTGGTTTGGGTGGGGGCTGAGGGGGCTGAAAGGGAATGTTTCAGTGGGAAGCCATCCTCCAGGGTAGCTCCTAGCTGTACGGTTTCTGTACGAGCTGTTACTCCCTGTGGCTCTGTGGGGCGGTGTGTTGCCTAACCTATTTAAGGCACAGAGCTGGGGTTTCACATGAGTGTAGGTGGCCCTGGTTTCTGAGAGGCTCTCGAGATGTTATCGTACTGCTCACCTGCTCTCCTGTGTCTGAACGGGGCTGCGAGGGATCGGTAGTTAGAACTGCTGCTATTCTAGTGAATTGTCAACCCATAATTAAATAAAGATAATGGGCTTTTAAACAGCAAACTTGAGTTCTCTGGCACTTGATTACATAAGTGACAGGGAGCAATAAAACCTTTCAGTGTAAATCAGTCGGTGTGTTCAGGCCCTGGTCTTTAACAGCTCCCCATTTTTCTGGTGCAATAGGTAATGTTCCTGTTGGTCAGCGCTTAGAGCAGGCTGTGCGTGTGGCTGTAGCGTGAAAGGCTGAACCATGCAGTAAAGGAAATAGTTCATGCAGAAGACAGCGCTGCCTCACAATCTCACGTTATTTCTTTGCTTGCTTGTGAGGGGGCTGAACTAAGAGGTGGATGCCTGATCCTTGTGATAGCAGTTGGCTATCAGGGCTCAGCGGAATGTGAATCAGTGGGTGCTGGGGCAAGGCCAGAATCCAGCCTCTGCAGTTTCCAGTTCAATGTACATTGCACAGAGCCTTCAACAAGGGAAAAATGTCTGTATTTCCCTTTCCAAGCGTCCGACCCACAGCTGCTGTGTTCAGCTCCTGAAAAACATGATGCATGCGAGACCGGCGACTCTCAGGATATTTTAAGGATCTGCTCCAGGGACAAGAAAGATGTAGCTCACAAGCATACATGCTCAGAGAGCAAGATCTGCTTTGCCATGGACAAGTTAGCAGATGGTTACACACAAACAGCAGTTTCACCATCAGCAGGGAGAGACTGGGCAGGAGGGATGTGTAAGAGTAGATGTCTAAGTATAGCTGAGCGCAGCCTGTGCGGGGTGTTACTGTTTAACTGAACCGCACACCTTCTAAACAGCAAGAGGCATGGTTTTGACTTCTTGCTCTGAATGCCTGTTGTGTCAAAGCTACTCTGGCAAACAGAATATAGATGAGATGACTAACTGCCATTACTAGCTAGCTTCTTCACAAAATGGCCACTGTTTTCGCTTGAGCAGAGTGCCAAGGAGTGTAAAATGAATAGTCGGTGGTGGAGATAAGCATGGACAGCTGAGAGAAACTGTATGATTTTTCAGCATATAATAACAAAACATTAGACTAGAAAGTGTTAGCACTAACTG